AAGTCTTGCGCGAAAGTGCGATGTGGGAGTACATTGTGAAGAAGTATCAGGCGGGAGCTGCTGCTATTGTAAACCTGGTGGCCAGTGCAAAGTTTGATAACACCTCGCGTTCCTTTTTTATATGCTTGAAAAGTGCGAGCCCCGGGGGAATCATTCTAAGTGTAAGAAATAGCACGTTTACTAGGCAGGGGGGGTCAACAACATGTATTGTCTTCGAAGTGAGAAGTCAACAACGGCAACAACAAGAACAGCAACACCACCAACAACAACCACAACAACCACAACCACCACAACCACAACCACAACGACGACTACTTCGACGACGACGACAACAACAATAGAAAACACAACAACAACAACAACAACAACAACAGCAACGACAACAGGTTTACGTATGTTCGCTCTTATCTGATCGCGTGCTTTTCAACACATAGACTCCAAACCTTCGAAACTGGCCCTCTTCGTGATCGATCGTGCCCCTACTAGGGGAATATCTTGCTTACGCGAAGCGTGTGTTTCGTGCAGCCCCATAGGGCAGGGGAAGAGAGGACGGATGGAAGGAAGGAACAAGGGGGAGGGAGGAGGATGGAGCACGAGAAAGGATAGCAGGAGGGGGGCTACGAGCAGATAACACGTGGCAGAATTAGACGGGCAGATCGAACGGGTAGACCCGAACGGGTGGTTCGAGAAGGCGGGCCCAAGCGGCCAGGCCGAGCAGACGGTTTGCTCAGGCGTGCGTCTTGCATGAATCGCGAGGATGTCTCAAGCGATGGCGCGATTCCTAAATACATCGTGAGTTCGGCCACAAAGAAAGCATGATTCTTGAGTGTCGAGGGCGCGGCGCCTGAATACATTGCAAGGGCGTCCCACGCGAGAGCGCGATGTTTGCATAATGTGTGTGGAAGTCCTGCTCGAGAGCGCGAGTTGGGAATATACCGCGAGGAAGTATGAGGCGGGAGGTGTTGTTGCTGTAAACAGGGAGCCAGGGGCACAGTTTGGTGACACTTCGCCTCCCCTTGTAGTTGTTTTTTATATAATTTAAAAAATATACATATTCCCAACCCTCCTGCGTTGGGTACTCGTTTTGAATAGAGCATTGTGGTCTCCACCTCCTCCTCCTCCCGCCTCCTCCCGCCTCCTCCTCTCTTCTCTCTTGTGGGGCTGCGATCTGTGAAACTGTCGCCACTTTCGGGGGGTGCTGGGGTGCCGAGCGGAGTGACGCCCTACGGGGACTCAGATTAGACCTCGCCATCCCTGGTGGGGCTGCGATCTGTGAAACTGTCGCCACGTTCGAGGGCTGCTGGGGGGCCCAGCGGAGTGACGCCCTACGGGGACTCAGATTAGACCTCGCCATCTCTGGGGGGGCTGCGATCTGTGAAATTGTCGCCACTTTCGGGGGTTGCTGGGGTGCCGAGCGGAGTGACGCCCTACGGGGACTCAGATTAGACCTCGCCATCCCTGGTGGGGCTGCGATCTGTGAAACTGTCGCCACTTTCGAGGGCTGCTGGGGGGCCCAGCGGAGTGACGCCCTACGGGGACTCAGATTAGACCTCGCCATCTCTGGGGGGCTGCGATCTGTGGAACTGTCGCCACTTTCGGGGGCTGCTGGGGTGCCCAGCGGAGTGACGCCCTACGGGGACTCAGATTAGACCTCGCCATCCCTGGTGGGGCTGCGATCTGTGAAACTGTCACCACTTTCGAGGGCTGCTGGGGGGGCCCAGCGGAGTGACGCCCTACGGGGACTCAGATTAGACCTCGCCATCCCTGGGGGGCTGCGATCTGTGAAACTGTCGCCACTTTCGAGGGCTGCTGGGGTGCCTAGCGGAGTGGCGCCCTACGGGGACTCAGATTAGACCTCGCCATCCCTGGGGGGCTGCGATCTGTGAAACTGTCGCCACTTTCGAGGGCTGCTGGGGGGCCCAGCGGAGTGACGCCCTACGGGGACTCAGATTAGACCTCGCCATCCCTGGGGGGCTGCGATCTGTGAAACTGTCGCCACTTTCGACTAGGGCCCAGCTGGGGGGGAGTGACGACCTCGCCATCCCTTGCGATCTGGAACTGTCAGATTAGACCTCGCCATCCCTGGGGGGCTGCGATCTGTGAAACTGTCGCCACTTTCGAGGGCTGCTGGGGGGCCCAGCGGAGTGACGTCATACGGGGATTCAGATTAGATCTCGCCATCCCTGGGGGGCTGCGATCTGTGAAACTGTCGCCACTTTCGAGGGCTGCTGGGGTGGCCAGCGGAGTGACGTCATACGGGGATTCAGATCAGATCTCGCCATCCCTGGGGGGGCTGCGATCTGCGAAAGTGTCGCCACGTTCGAAGGCTGCTGGGGGGGCCAGCGGAGTGACGCCCTTCGGGAATTCAGATTCGACCTCGCCATCCCTGGGGGGCTGCGATCTGTGAAACTGTCTCCACTTTCGAGGGCTGCTGAGGGGCACAGCACAGTGGGTGCCCACCGCAGACTCAAATTAGACCTCGCCATCCCTGGGGGGCTGCGATCTGTGAAACTGTCGCCACTTTCGAGGCTGCTGGGGGCCCAGCACAGTGGGTACCCACCGCAGACTCAAATTAGACCTCGCCATCCCTGGGGGGCTGCGATATGTGAAACTGTCGCCACTTTCGAGGCCTGCTGGGGGGCCCAGCACAGTGGGTACCCACCGCAGACTCAAATTAGACCTCGCCATCCCTGGGGGGCTGCGATCTGTGAAACTGTCGCCACTTTCGAGGCTGCTGGGGGGCCCAGCACAGTGGGCACCCACCGCAGACTCAAATTAGACCTCGCCATCCCTGGGGGGCTGCGATCTGTGAAACTGTCGCCACTTTCGAGGGCTGCTGAGGGGCACAGCACAGTGGGTACCCACCGCAGACTCAAATTAGACCTCGCCATCCCTGGGGGGCTGCGATCTGTGAAACTGTCGCCACTTTCGAGGGCTGCTGAGGGGCACAGCACAGTGGGTACCCACCGCTGACTCAAATTAGACGCCGCTTTCGTCCTTGTTTTCCTCCTGCAGTCACCTTCCCTCTGCTGCTGCCGTGCTGATGGTTTGGCTTCCCGCACGTTTTTCTCCTGCTCTGCGTTCCCGATTCCCCATGTCCTCTTCGAGCCTGTAGCTGTCACCCCTCGTTCTTGTATGGTTCTCCTGCGCATCATGCCATAGGCGCGTGTCCCAAGTAGCTTACACATCAAGTTGATTGTCCATGCAAGTTTCGGCCAACTCCTCGTTTCCATTGATACAGATGGGTTGGGTACGTCACAGGGTAATGTATGTAAAAAGGTGGGAGCCCCGAGAGAAGCACCTGAATCGAAATGAGGATGCAACGACATCAATCAGTTTAGGACTTGTCGCTCTTATCCGCTTGCGTGCCATTCAACACGTATACGGTGGGGGCGTTCAAAGGGACGTGCCCAGGAGGTTTCAGACCTTGGAGGGTTCTTTATCTGATGAAGGCGGCGGTGATATCCATGGCGAGTCCACGATCGGTTTTCCATTGGCTTCCAGACCCTGGATTCCTTATCGAAGGTTTCTCACCGTATCCCAAGCCCCCGATACCCGCCCTCCTCGTCTTCGGTCGTATTCCCTTGGGTGGTAATCTTGCTCACCTGCAACGTGTATTTCGTGCAGCCCATGAGGCAGGGGAAGAGAGGACGAATGTAAGGAAGGGGCACGGGGGAGTGAGGAGGATGGAACACGAGAGAGGATAGCAGGAGGGGGGGCAGGAGCAGAAGACACGTGGCAGAATTAGACGGGCAGATCGGGCGGGTAGACCCAATCACGCGGGTCGGGAAGGCGGGCCCAGGCGGCCAGGTCGAGTAGGCGGGTTGCTGAAGCGTGCGTCCTGCATGTACCCCGTAGCGCGATTCCCAAGTATATCTCAAGAAAGTCCAAGGAGAGAGCGTGATTCTTGAGTGTCGAGGGCGCGGCGTCTGAATACATTGCTAGGAAGTCCCACGCGAGAGCGCGATTCCTGTACAATTGTGAGGCCCCGCGCGAGAGCGCGATATGGGAATAAGTTGTGAGGAAGTATCCGGCGGGAGCCGTTGTTGTTGTACACCGAGGGCCAGGGACACAGTTTGGTGACCCCACATTGTCCCTTGTGTTTTTTCATCCCCCCAAAAAGGGGCGAGCCCCGTATGGAGCACTTTAATTGAAAAATAAGATGGATACCGGAGGGGGGGGACCAACAATAATTATGATTTAGACATGAGAACTCAAAAACGACGACAATGGCAACAAAAAACAAACACCACCACCACCACCACCAACAACAACAACAACGACGACGACAACAACATCGGCAACGACAGCAACATCAACAACCACAACAACAACCACAACAACGACGTAACAACGAATCGTTCCGCGGGACCCAATTTCCACGCGCCCAGTGACAATGAACGACCGCTGGGACCCCGCACTTTGATCATATCCGTGACCGTATCTTGCTTCTCCATCCACCCGTGTTGCCCCGGGCGCCCCGCCAGCACCGACCCCTGCGCCCGGCGAGCCCCGGCGCCATGCGCGCGGCTGTTTTCCACTTCGCGCCCAGCGCGCCCCGCCGGTACCGACCCACGCGCCTGCTTCAGGCAGGCGATGTTCGGTATTCACGATAAGGCTGGGGCCCGCCGCGTGAGACTTCTTCTACAAAATGCGAGGGGATCGAATCCGGGTCCCGCCGCACGGTTGGCCGGTTGATTGGTCGGTTGATTGGTCGGTTGGATGGTTGGTTGGTTGGGTGATTGGTTTGGTGATTGCTTGGTTGGTTGGTTGCCTATTTGGTTGATTGGTTGGCTGGTTGGCTGGGTGGCCGTTCCACCGATCGACTGGTCAGCCTGAAAGTCACTTATGAGCGCAACGGCTACGACGGGTGGGCAGACCCTAACGGGCGGATCGGGTTGGCACCCTGGCTCCTGGTCGCACTGCGGCCGATGCAGATCGCATGCATTTATGAGATCACCGGCGTCTTCTTGCGAGGGGCACCTCGGAGCCTCACCAAGGTCTACGTCGAGGCGTCGGCCCTTCCGCACGGCCCGCCAGCAGCACGGACGCGGTGCGCGGACGTGGTCGCGCGCGGCGTCTGTGGCGAGGGGAGGGGAAGAGTGAAGATGAGGAGGAGGAGGAGGAGGAGATCAGTAACAGCAGCAGGAAGTGGAAAACATCCACGGTCCAGGGTCTTTGGTGTGTGGCGACTTCACGTTAGCCCCGAAATGCCAGTGTCTTCGGTGTTGCCAAGTTCCCGAGAATGTGTCCTTTTGTTTTCTCTCCCGAATATCCCCCTCCTTTAATTTTCCCGTCCTCGCCCTCCTCCCCATTGCCCCCCTTCCCAACGCCTCTCCTTTGCTCCCTCCTCTCCAATCCCCTGTCCACCACCGTTGCCTCCTCGCCCCTCCCATTCTCCTGCTCGCCCAATTCCTCTCCGGCCCACACTTCTTCTCTCCCCGCCCCCCCTCTTTCACCTCTACCCGTCCGGTTCCCCTCCGCCTCCGAACTCTCCCGTCCCTCTGCCCACGCCACTCCTATCCCTCGAAGCTCAACAAGCAGCCATGGCTGCACGAATTCGCCTGGAAGAAGGGGCTGCCCAAAGGTAGTGTCCATCAGGCGTGGCATGAGTCGCCCCGAGTGTTGTTCTAGGGAGCCCTGCTCGCGTAGGAGCACATCGCCGCTTGCGTTGACATCTGACAGGAGCCCCTATCCCCTCTGGAGTTTCAGTTTCCAGTGTCTCTCCCTCCGCCTGCCCCTGCCCAAAGGTCTGGGGCCGCGATTGGGGCGAGGCATCCTGGAGGCCGGAGGCTGGAGGCATATTGCTCCTGCAGGCCAGGGCGGTCGGGGAGAAACATGATGGAGGAGGAGGCAGAGGAGGAAGAGGAGTAGGATGGGAAGGAGGAAGGGTTTGGCCGTAACTCCATGCACACATTCGACACTGTCCCTTTCTCGAGGCATAACCTCTAGCGTGTCTCTGTTACTTTGGCCGCGCCCAAGCAAATTCTGTTGGATTGCGATCACGTTCCAGATGTGCGGTCCCGAGGCAGTTTGGCATCGACGAGCCAGGAAAGCCAGATCCTAGTAAAGAACCCTGGTTCGCCTAGGTAGTGCAGCACAATTGTTGGAGCACACATCATTCGTCAAGTGCAATGAGGAGGCAGAGTTCCCGAGAAAGAAAACCTCGGGGTTGTGATACATCCCGACAGGCCCCGAATTGAAGTGCGGAGTCTGTAGCCGTGCAAAGAACACCGAGGCGCACGCGAAGTGCAGACATTGCAAGAACGACAAAGTGGAGACAGCGACGAATTTGCATCAGTTGGCTTCGGTGTCGTTTGTTGCCCTCCTCATGGCATTCGTCGTTTTGGTGTTTTCCTCCACTACCCGCGAGTGACTGAGGAAAGCAGGTCGCATTCGAGTCTGGTATCCAGGCCATCGAGAGCGAGCTGGAACAACCCATCGGATTCATGGGTCGAGCGGGACACAAGCATCATGCCGAGACGGATCGGGACCAGCTTGAACATATGCGTGCCTGCGAGGTTGCCCCACCAAGACAGCAGCGTGCCCCGCGGAGACGGCCGCGCAGCCAGCTGATCTGGCAAAAGCCCCAGGGGCCCGATGGCACGGCCCACGGGGCCAGGGAGCCACTCCAGCTTCCGGCTCGGGAGGGCCGGCGTCGGACCTGGAAGCGATGTGCAGCAGGAGGTTCTCTCGACCGCGCGCGCCATCTGCCCGCTGGCCAGTCGTTGCCGCGCGGGCGGCGCCGGCGCCCTGCCCCGACTTGCCCAGAGCTCGCGGTTGGCCTCCACGCGGGCTCGCGCTGCCCCCCCCCCATCGGGCCTCCGCAGTTCATCTTTTTCTCTGCCTTCCTCCTCGTCCTCCTCCTCCTCCTCCTCCTCCTCCTCCTCCTCCTCCTCCTCCTCCTCCTCCTTCTCCTCCGTTTGGCTCTTCTCATTTGCAGCGCTTCACCGATCTAGTTGATGACAATGTGTTGCAGTGATGCTGGCCGCCTCTGGCCTGGCTCCTCTGTTTCGGTAGGAGGCGTTGCACAGATATTCTGTGCTATTTCACCTGCTCTCCTTCTCACCTCGCTTTCGCTCGCCTCCCCACTTGCGTTGGGCACCAGTGCGAGTCCCGATAGCATGGTCTGGTACGGGGTACGCACGCGCGAGTGTACATGTTAGCCGCGGTTTCAGCGAGGCACTCGCACGACAGACGCGGGAATCTGCTATTTCAGTTAGATGTTCCGCATGATTCATTTCAGTTTGTGCGTGTCTCCGCCAGTTGCCACTGACTGCCCCGAGTGAGACAAATGGCGTGTTGTTCATCGTTGTTTCACGTTCTCCCTTCTGCCCTCCCTCCCTCCCCATTATGTCTGTTCTCTCTCTCTCTCTCTCTCTATTTCTTTTTTCTCGATCTGGAAAAATGGCAGTTCCCACCAGTTTAGTTAGGTGGTAATGTGATGTGGGTTAGATCGGTGGGTTTTGGCAGTGTCGCATCGCCATGCAACCTGGTTGGATGCTTGAAGGGTGTTTATGCGCGCGCGGGCAATGTGCCAAAATCAGATGCAAGGGTTGCGTGAAAGGCGTGCCGCCTGGTGTTTCCAAGCTTGCACGGCAGCCAGATGAACACAGTGCTCTGGAATCTCGGACGTGCCAGTTTTGAAGATATCGTTGTTTCCTCGATACCTCAAGCCTGCTTGAGGCTGGAGCGCGCAAAAGGCTCCCTTTTCCCTTCCGTGGGCTGCGCAATGTATGCCGACCCTTGCCCCAAAGCGGGGCCCAAGGGAGGAAGCATTCATGGAACCGAATCTCCACGGGCTGGCATCCCAGGCTCGAAGGTGTTACAATTGACGTTGGGCCCTGGTTGATCTCCCCGATGAGTGATCGGTTCCCTTTTCGACTCCCTCTGTGACCCTCTCGTTTTTCGTTTGCCCCCTTGCCGTGGATGTTCATTCCTTCGGGTTGTCCCTTCCTTTCCTCTCCGCTTCCTCCCTTTTCCTCCCTTCTGCTTCTCCTCCCCGGCGGAGAGCCGAGCGGCGGCTGGCGGAGCCGACCCTGGGCCGACGCAGAGGCTGAGCGCCCCATCGCAGAGGCCCGCCGCCAAGAAGACTGACGGCCCTCAACTGCAGGAGGGGAAAAACACACACAGACACAATGGATCGTCGATCCCCCCAGAAAATATGGGAAAGTACGGGAAGTAAGGGGGGGAAGGCAGAAACCCAGAAGATACAGGAGAAGATTGGGAATTTGGTGTTACTTGTGCTGATTTGTTATTTGTGTGTCCCAGCTCCCCGTCACTACTGCTCACACGAATGCCTCCCGTGAAGGCCCTCCCCAAGTTGCTCCCGGCCTGGCGCGGCCCACGTCGATCCGACCCCTCCGACTTTGCGCGCCCTCCGGCAGGCCCGGCCCGACCTGCCTCCGGCGGCCCGATGCGGCCCGATGCCTGCATGGCGTTGCTGCGCATCCTGACGCGGCCGCTCTTGAACGAAGGATTGCAAAAAAAACCCTAGAACGAAGGATTGCAAAAAAACCCTAGAACGATAGATTGCAAGAAAAACCTAGGATTGCAAAAAAAACATGTTTGCAATCCTTTTTGCAATCCTTCGGTTTTTTTGCAATCCTTCG